ATTTCGGGTTCGGAAGGCATGTCATGTTAGGGTTGATATTTATGGCTAAGGGTTTCGATCTTCCTTATCGTGGTCGTTAAGATTTTGGAGCGTGGAGTAGGGAGTGTCGGGTTGGAGTTGCTAGCCGCGATCTTCTTTTAGGGTTGCCTGCCTTTCGTGTTAATGGTTTAGGGTGTTTCAGCTACAGTTGCTTTCAGCGATTGGGGTTTGCCAATCACGACTTGCTTTTGGGTTTTGGGGTTGGCCAACATCTCCTTCCGGTTCGCTAACCAGTGCCTTCGTCTTTTAGGGTTTGGGTTTGCAAAGCATGATCATTTTTAGGGTTTGGTGTTTGCCAGCCACAGTTGTTTTCAGTGATTGGGGTTTGAAATCCACGACTTCCTTTTGGGTGTTAGGGTTTGCCAACATCTCCTTCGGCTTCGCTGACCAGTGCCTTCGTCTTTTAGGGCTTGAGTTTGCAAAGCATGATTCTTTTTTAGGGTTTGGGGTTTGCCAGCCACAGTTGTTTTCAGGGATTGGGGTTTGCCAGCCACGACTTGCTTTTGGGTTTTGGGGTTTGCCAACATCTCCTGCGGGTTTGCTAACCAGTGCCTTCGTCCTTTAGGGTTTGGGTTTGCAAAGCACGATCTTTTTTTAGGGTTTGGCGTTTGCAAGCCACCATGTTCCATTAGGGTTTTGGGGTTTGCAAGCGATTTTCTTTTCCTTTTAGCGTTTGGGTTTGCCATCCGCCATCTTCGTTTAGGGGTGTTAGGGGTTTTGCCAGCAATCGAGTGCTGGTAGGGCGCAGGGTTTGCCAGCCACCATCTTCATCGTTTAGCAACGCTCTCCTTTCAGGGCTAGGGCTTTGTCAACCAACACCGCCATTTTAGGGTTTAGGGTTTGCCAGACAGCATTTATCCGACATCTTGTGTTAGGGTTCAAGAATCCGCATTCAATACTCATGTTTTTGTTTTGGGGGTTTGGGGATTGCCGTTCAGGATTTCCTTTCAGGGTTTACGGTTTGCCAGCCAATATCGCCTTCGCTTAGGGTTTTTGGAATTGCTGCCCACAATGTTTTTTGGGTTTCGGGGTTTTTTGTGTTTGCCAACCAACATCGTCGAGTAAGGTCTAGGGACGTTCACGATTTGCTTATCAATATCTTCGTCCCTTAGGTTTGATTTTCCTGACCAGCATCACCTCTTAGGCTTCGCCGGCCATCAGTTCTGGTTTGCCAGCCAGTATCTTCTTCGTTTAGGGTTTGGGATTTGCCACGCACGGGCTGATGTTGGGGTTGCGGCTATGGGTCTGCCAGCGAACATGACCTATCAGGATTTCGGGTTCGGAAGGCAACCAGCGATCTTCTTTTGGGGTTTGGGGTTTGCCAACCAACATGTCCTGTTGGGGGTTGGGTTTATATTTATGGCTAAGGGTTTCGATCTTCCTTATCGTGGTCGTTAAGATTTTGGAGCGTGGAGTAGGGAGTGTCGGGTTGGAGTTGCTAGCCGCGATCTTCTTTTAGGGTTGCCTGCCTTTCGTGTTAATGGTTTAGGGTGTTTCAGCTACAGTTCCTTTCAGCGATTGGGGTTTGCCAATCACGACTTGCTTTTGGGTTTTGGGGTTTGCCAACATCTCCTTCCGGTTCGCTAACCAGTGCCTTCGTCTTTTAGGGTTTGGGTTTGCAAAGCATGATCTTTTTTAGGGTTTGGGGTTTGCCAGCCACAGTTGTTTTCAGTGATTGGGGTTTGAAATCCACGACTTCCTTTTGGGTTTTGGGGTTTGCCAACATCTCCTTCGGGTTTGCTAACCAGTGCCTTTGTCCTTCAGGGTTTGGGTTTGCAAAGCACGATTTTATGTTTGCCAGCGACAGTTGTTTCCCGGGATTGGGGTTTGCAAGCCATTGTCTTCTTTTGTAGCGTTTGGGTTTACCACCCACCATCTTCGTTTAGGGGTGTTAGGGGTTTTGCCAGCGAGCGTGTGCTAGTAGGGCCCAGAGTTTGCCAGCCACCATCTTCATCGTTTAGCCAACGGTCTCGTTTTAGGGCTAGGGCTTTGTCAACCAACGCCGCCTTCTTCGGGTTTAGGGTTTGCCAAGCAACATTTTTTGGGGTTTGGGGTTGGCCCGCGATCCTTTGTCAGCATTAACCCGACATCCTCTAGCCGCCCAACACCTCCTCATAAGGTTCGGTGTCTTCTTCCTTTAGGGTTTGGGCTTGCCACCCACGATGTCAGCTCTTCTTCAATGCCCTGGGTTTGCCAACCAGTATCTTCTTCGTTGGACTTTGGGGTTTGCCGCATACTGCTACATTTATGGTTGGAGCCAGGGGGTTTATCTTGTCTTAAGGGTGTGGGGTTGGCAGCCAACATTTCTTTTTAGAGTCTTGGTTGTTTCGAAGCAGCATGTTCTTTTCGGCTTTGGGGTGTGCCAATAATGTCTCGTTCGGTTAGCGTTGGGGTTTTCCACCCACGATCTTCTTTTCGAGGTTGCTGTTTTCCCGCCATCTTTCAGGGTTCGGAGTTTGTGGCCAACAGCTACTTGATGTAGGGTGTCAGGTTTGCCACCCACGACCTTCTTTGGAGTGTTGGGATTTGTCAACCGACATGTCAGTTTTTGGTTTTCGGGCTAGCCAACGGCCGTCCCCGTTTGGGGTTGAGGGTTTCCGATCCAGCAATCAATGCTTGCCACACCAACATGATTGTTGTAATTCAAGGTGCAGTACAGCCGCAGTTTTGTTTCCTGGGCTGGTTTTCCTGAATCGCTCCTGGTGTCTTGCGAATCTTCTCCCATGTTTTCCGAATTTGTTTCCTGTTCTCCAGAATTTCTGGTGTTTTCCTATTTGGTAGTCCTTGTTTTCGACCATGTCTCTTCCACAGCCCCTAATGTGGCAGTGGTGGTTAGCTTCTACAAGGGGGCGTTAGTAGTAAGATCCAGTTTCTTGAAATTCCCACATCGCAGGTCCGGCTTCCATCCACAGGTTTGTTCAGGATCGTGGGACGCAGATAGCGGTCTAGGATTTGGGGTTCAGGGTTTACGGCCTGTTTGAAGATCAACGCATACAGCCATGGCTACTTTCTACGGTTACTTGCAGGGATCCATCCATACACATAGCTCGGTCGTTGCCTAGTGCTACCTTGACGTGCCTGTGCACGTTTGCACCTCCCGAATTACACGCCTGTTCCCTTGAACTGACACACACAAGCACATGAACGAGCACACACCTCCACGGACTAGTGCGCCTAGGCAGAACAGTTTGCAGGTGTGCTCATGCACACATGAAAACCTGCGCAGTAGGTGTATATGCACATGCCCTTGTCCTCGGGCAGGGACTCGGCTCACGAAATGATGCAAGGGAGCGCGTAACAAGTGTTTTAATCATGCGAATTTCCTGGCACCAAATGCCTCCGAACGACTCGAAGCCACGCATTTGCTTGTCAATTGAATGCTCCCGCTCTCTCTATCTGTCTCTGCGTTGGGGCCGCTCACAGGCCATGCCGACATATCTGTTGGAGTTCGCCGTCTGATCGAGGCAGCATAGAAGTTGCTGGCAGCTAGCATGTTGCGTTCTGTCAGCAGGTTTGGATATCGACAGTCATTGCGTGCCTTCTTTGCGCTTGGCTGGCATGTGTGATGTCGTTCTGTTTGGAATTGTGTGCCATGGCTGCGTGCGGGGATTGTCGCATTTTGGATGAGGCGTCTTGAGTGAGAAGCTTCTAGAAGCCAAGGTTTTCGCACAGTGGTCTCTTTCCGATGGACTGTGCCATTTCACCAAAGCCAGCATTTGCAGACCAGAGTGAGTGCTACCTGAAACAGAACCATGACGGTATATCACGTTTGAGACTTCGGGCTGCTATGCATCGCTTTTGGCTCGAAGGCGCTACGCATGCATGCTCTGAAGCTTAACTTTGGCTATCCTTCTCTCTCATACGGATCTAGAGTTTGCTGCCGACGACCCCTTTCTAGGGGCTTGCCGCTCATCATCTCTGTTTATGGCACGATGATGGTGCGAGTGCACATAAAACTATTTCGCTCATTCAGAAGAACGAGTCGATCGGTCGATCTACTTCTTCAACTTAATGTTGGTCCTGGTTCTGCATGCTGTCCTTGGCAGTACATAGGCTTAAACCCGTCAGCGCTTCGTGCGACGGCGGTCAAGTGCTTTTTCCCCACGGTTGCTCCGTTTCCAAAACGAATTCTGCTTGCTATTTAGAATTGGTTTGCGGCCTCTGCATGGATGTTTTGGACATGCAGCAGCCGGCTGTGTCAGTAGCCCCGTAGGAAGAAGATGCTCTGGAAGTACTGGAGAGACAATTCTGTATCAGTTGATACGTCTTCGGAGCACATAGACTGTAGCAGAGCATCTTCTGCGCTTGGCATAGAACCAGGCGTGCGCAACTCTGCTTCTACATTGAAGCCTTTCTGAAACAAGCAAAGTTGCAGCACCACAATCATGACGAGGGGCTTCAGACTGCGGGCTGGCTCTCGGGGCCAGTCGGCATCCAGAGTGTCAACGTCATGCTCTGGACTGTGCTTCCGTCATGAGCTCCTGCACAATGACATAGATGTCGCCTGCTCGGTGTGCCAAAGCCTCCGAGAGACTCCAGCGCTACATGGAGTTTGCTGCATTGCCTTCCAGTGATGCTGCGGATAGCTTGCGTGTTGTTCAGCCATTCTCCAGCAGGAAGCACACAAGCAGTCACAGCATGGAGACGTGCCTAGAAGTAGATTTACATTGCTTCCTGGCATGCACAAGATGACATGAGGGCAGGAGAAAGCCGAGGAACGACAGATCTGGGGAACACATGGCAAACCCTAGATCAGCAAGCCAAGCAGTTACCTTGTCGAAGCGGCACTAGCAGAACCTGGGATATCGCCAGTCCAAAGGCTATGGGCCAAGGCAGGCTTGACAACCAGGCGTGTGCCGGCGAAAGGCAAAGGCCTGATGCTAATGCTTCTCGTGTGTTCTGCGCTTGCTCCGTGTCGCTCATGTCACATGCGTGAGTCTCATCTCCTGCCACAGGGCGACATGCACCCATTTGCGCCTCCGCCTCACTGGCCGCCTCCACGTGCGGTGCTCAGCGACGTTGGGAAGTTGCCTCAGGGAAGAAGCTTCTTTGGCTCAGGCTATCCACAAGGCTTTCCAGCACAACAGCCCTTTCCGCAGTCGCCATGCATGGGCCACGGCTATCCACACCCAGGCGCATCATATCCAGGAGGCTGCACTGGAATCCCTCCACAGATGACTGTTCCAACACCTCACAGCCTCAACACCCCTCCTTCAACTTTTGTCGGCATTCGACCACCTAATGCAATTCCCGGCGTAATGCCCGGTCCGATTCCTGGTGCCCTGCCTGGTGCCATGCCGGGTGCAGGCCCGGGTGGAATGCCCGGCCCAATTCCAGGCACCGTCCCCGGCGCAATGCCAAATGCAGTGCCTTCTTTCGCAGCACAACCTCCCCCAGTCCAACCTGCAGCACATGCGATGCCACCTCAATCGTCCTTCACATCTCCGCCACCTGCCCCGCCCATGCCTCCACCGGCGTCTCCACGACCACCCGCCCCAGCACCATCTGCCAAAGACAGCGCAGAGGGTGCCAAAGCCGGCAGCGAGTGGCCGATGCCTTTCCACGTACATCCATGTACCAGAAGCCAGAAGGGACCTAGTTTCTGTGCAGAGTTTTTCAACTTCTAAGGACCGGTCAATCTTTCGAAGATACCATCGGTGAAGTGACTGAGCTGAGATGTTTGGATCCAGGCGTTGCTGTTCTAGCTCGTTGCACGAAGGCGAAACGGCGTGCAGAAGAGGCCAGGAAAAAGTTCGATGAGGAGCCGAAGTGTTAGCAGTCGGTGTGAACGGAGAGACGGTTGTGATTGTCTTACTGCACCCGTCGCATGCATGGCGTGCTGCAAGCCTGCATGGACGCTGTCTTGTTGACAGGAGCAGCGAAAGTCTCGTCGCACCCATCGTGACGGTCCGCGATGATGGGGGGGAGGGGGGAGGGCTCTCTCGTGTCCTCCTTTCATCCTCTCTTCCTTCCGTTGCTTCAGGTGAGGAGCGGCCTCCGGCTTCCGAGGAGGAGCGCGGCAGTAGCTTCTTTCTCTTTCTCTTTGTTTTTCTGCTCTCTCTTTGGGCAGGAGCTCTTGGAGCTGCAGGCCTGGCTCTCGAAGTTCACTTTGGACTCCAAGGCCCTCAACGCCGCTCAGCTCAGAGTCACGTCCGCGTCACGGTTTCTTTCGGGCACCCGGCCGGCGATGCTGAGGCGCTGAAAAGCCTCGATGTCAAAGATGCGGTGCACGCATTGAAGGAGAGCATCCTGCAGCTGGCATCCGTGCCCTTGCATGTCATGGCAAGGAGCTGGAGCAGAAAGGGCCCGGCATCCGGAATCCTTCCGTGCCTTGCAAGAACGACATGGGGAAGGGGCTGAACTGCACCTACGAGTATCCAGCATGCCAGCGTGACGGCTCCCCCACCTGCACACAGGCCTGGATCTGCAAAACTGCGCAGAATGTCCGAGAGAGGCCGTGCCTGATGTCAAAAGTAAGCTGCCGTGTTGCAGCGTTTTCCGGCACCAAACGTGGCTTGCTGGTGTTGTGAACGCAACCCCGCCAATCCAGCTCAATTCCCGTCCGTCTGCAGGCGGGGTCTGCCACCGCTGCCAGAAGAGGCCCTGCACCACCAGCATGGGCATCCTAGGACCTAGGATGCAATGCAGACCCTCTGACAGGAGAAGGAGAAGGAGCAGGAGAAAGAGAAGAAGAACGATTTGGGCATTGTGGACCACTATGGAGCGTTCTTTTCATGCAGCTAGTGACAGCTAGCGTTGGGTATACCATTTTTGCATCAGCATCCCTCGGATCTTAGCCTCTAAGCCGCCCTAGGAGTGAAAAGCAATGAAGCCAGGTTGAAAAAACGTAAATCTCGATTCAATGGTTCGGTTTTGACCTACCTTGGACCTTCCAAATACACAGTTAAATCTGATGTTAACTGCTTGTAGGTGCATTCGTCCAATAAACTCAATAAACAATTAAATCACGAGTTTACCGTCTCGCTGCATACCAGTAGAATCTGCTAAGAGACCCGTGCCATTTCGCTAGCGGGATGCCACACCACCGGTAATGTAGTTGGTTCCTGTCACGTTCGAAGGAAAGCTTCTCTGAATACGTAGATCGCCACAATGACCGGTCGCAGGTTTAGTGGGCTTAGGGATTGCAAGCTCCGAACCTTCCGTGTGAATCTTCTCAGAACTAGGTTAACTAGGTTGTACTGTTCTACTCACTCACGACCAGTTCAGGATTTTCAGTAAAATCAGCATTTCATTGGGAATCTTGGGAGCCATGTCCGAACATTTCGTGGGTGTCTCGTGAGATTCAGAAATAGATAGACTAGAGCAAGCAAACGACACAAGTAAATCATGATTTAGCTGTTGATGTCGGGAAACCCAAACATGCAGTGACGATCTCTTGATTGATTCAACTCGTCTCCCCTAGTCTAGTTTGCTATACCCTAGTCTAGCCTAGCCTAGCCTATGATAGAAGCCCAAAAAGTTGGAGCATGACCATCCTCATGCCCTCAAGGTAGAGTGTAAGGTATCCTAGCATTAATCATCCTTAGTCCATGTGCCAACTTGCTGGGGTTTGCTGTAGTCTAGCAAACGACACAACTAAATCATGATTTAAGTGGTGATGTTGGGAATCTCCGACCATGCAGTGACGATCCCTTGATTGATTCAGCTCGTCTCGCCTTGTCTAGCCTGGTAGCCTAGCTTATGATGGAAGACCAGAAGGTTGGAACAGGGCTATCCTCTTGCCTTCAAGGTAGAGTGTAAGGAATCCCCTAGCTCTAATCATCTTCTACCCATGTTCCAGCTTGCCGGGCTTCGCTGTAGTCTCGTCTAGTCTAGTCTAGCCTAGTCTAGTCTAGTGTAGCCTAGTCTAGTTTAGTCCAGTAGCCCACCTTAAACCTTGAACCCTAAACAGGCTCTTGGGAGGCAATTAAACGATGAATTGATCGTTTCGTTCTTGCCATGCCTTCGAGACAATCAAAGTCCGATTTAGTTGTATTCAGGTTTGGTCATTGATTCAGAATCTGTTAGATCTTGATTCAATTGTCGTCCAGGGTTGGGGTAGTGTAGGAGAAAGAATGAAATCCTGCTGTATTTGTGCCATGTAGGTAGCAGGACAGGCGTGGAATGGGGCGTCGCACAACGTTCAAGGCCCAATGAAATCATAAGTAAAATGTGCTGGGCCTAAGGGGTCCAAGACGGCCCGATGCCGGGCAATAGACTCAAAGAGTTAGACTTTTAACTCTTGGATTCACTGCCTTCCCCTAAAAATTCTTCCGAGGGAAGTGAACTGCAGCCCAGGCTGGAAGTGGCCGAAGACGCAGACGAGAAAGACATCAAGAAGGCCTACAGGAGCCGTGCTTTGCTCTGCTTCGTGCACTACAATGCAGGGCATCGACAATTTCGCAGGAAGTTGGTGCTCAAGTGGCACCCCGACAAGCATCCAGAGGGCCGAGACGAGGCCGGGGCTCGGCGGGACTGCTTGCTGATTCGGTCAGGGCGGTGTGAGGGCCGTGTTTGAATCGAAGGTCGCGGCTTTGAATTCAGGACTCCAAGGTGCAGTCTTCGGTGCCTACGTCCTTCGAAGTTCGAAGGGCTAGAGGCTTTCAGAAGGAGACTCGGACTTGCCTTCCGAGTGCCTTTGTCAGCTTCTTGGATTCCTATTAGCATTCCTGAACTTCTCAAATTCCAGATCCTGGTTTCCAAAATCCTTTCCTTCACATAAAAAAAACGTCAGCGGTCAGTCTCCTCCTGCCCCCAGATTGAGAGCATGAACATGCGGTTCAGATGAACAGCCGCCGGTGGCAAGGCAGAAGAGAAGATTCGCGCCATCAACAATGCTTACGACGCATGGCTGCCAGAATACCGCCGGACTGCTGGAGCAAGATTGTAGGATGCAGTTGGGTTCAGAAACGCTGCGTTGCTGACACTAGCCTTGCACGACGAAGTTGGTGCACCGGCATAAGGAGACACTCAGCAATGCCACAAAGCGTGGTCACCTTAGCTCCTGTCGGGTTCAGGGCCAGGGCTCAGGATCTTGTGATGAAATGCCTTTCGTACCAGAGCTGTCCAGGCGCTACATACGATGCGCAGCGCCAGGCGTTGCTGCGCTCCAGTCGTGGGCAAGGTCGCTTCTCAGCGTTTGGTATCCCTGCAAGCTTCCGCTTGGGGTTCGCTGTGCCTCCAGCTGTGTTTATGGTTGGGAGTGAAGTCTTCGTCAACAGGCAAGTAACTTGCACATGGCAAGGGGCGCGATTTAGTGGATGTAGGAGAATTGACGGTCGCATGCAAATGCTGTAGGGTGAACCAGCCCAAACTTCGGAGTTTGTCGTCACATCTCTTGTCGAGCTACTTCGATGTCTGAGGTCCAGACCTGAAGGCGCGATGCGCAGAATGGGAGCGGGCATCGCAGCTTTCGAACTCAATGCGGAATGTCTTCGCGTGCTCAGTGCATGCGGACATCTGTTCTCAGTGCGGTCTGTCTTGTCGCAAGGCACAGAATTTGGCACCACGGCAGCGTATTCCCCGGGAGTTTATGTTGCAGCCCATCGGGTGACATGGCTTCAACAAGAATGCCGAATGCATTTCTCACAAGTGCACGCAATCTCGCACGGAGCCATCAGGTCTCCAAACAAGTTCGTGCGCTACGGTGATGAGCGTGCAAGAGCTCAATGCGAGGTGCGGATTCGGCGATGTGACGAATCCTTGGTTTGCTTGAAACGTGTTGCGTTCGAGCGAAGGTCAATTCACGTGCGGATGCCCGTCTCGATGGCAAGAGTGGGTTGGATCAGTCAGAAGCCCAGGATCAGCAATCAGCATGGTCGCAGACTCGACGTGTGTCAAAAGCACGACGGGGTTGTGGCATCCGGTGGAAAGCAAGTTCAATTGCGACAGTAAGAGAGCATGTCTTGAGTGCTTTTGGCGGGGCAGTGACTTTTTGAGCCGTCCCTTTCCCTCCGGGAGATCTGCCCCGACAGGGATTTTCTGTGCAGAGTTGGTGACACGATTGGACTGAGGTTCGTGCCATTCTTCAAAGCGGCGAAGCTTTCTCTGTGGTGGTGCGCCCCTGATCACAACAGCCTCGTCCTGTATGTTGATGTTGCTTCTCGGGCAGAGTGATATCTCAGGCACGCCCAGTGATTCGCAAATATATGCAAGAGTAGATAGACGTGTTATGCAGTTGAAGGATTCGGCAGCACATTGCATGCAGCTCGCCGGGGTTCCGAATCCGAAGCTTCCGACAGCGCCTCGCAAGCTGCAGGCTACCAGATGTCAACAACATGTGCCGCATCCGCGCATTGGAGGCGGGAGTGGGCCGAAGTGGTCTGTGGTAGTGCTCTGATGCAGTGCCGGGCGCAGCATATGTTCAGGCGAGGACTCGGTCGAGTGCCGGTGAGAAGGCACACCCAAGAGCGTCGATTGAATCGTTCCAGCCTTGCAAAGTCGTACCCTCTGCCGAAGGTTGTCGCTGGGCGCCCCGGCGGCTTCAATCTGGCTTTCGAGATTGATGTCCGAATCCCAGTGAGCGAAGACAGGCCTCGTGCAGCACGTGCAGCAGCTTTGCAGTCCTTCTGCTCTTGCTCCTTGATGGATGGACAAGCTGTCAGACCATGGTCGTTTTGGAAGAGGCTGTTTCGTGCCTGCATGACGACGGATACCATCTCTGAATGAGCACCAGTGTATGCAAGGGATATCCGCAAAAACAGATCGGAGTAGCAGAGTGCGCATGTATTGAGCGTGGCAGCTGCGTGCATCTGATGCATTTGGGAAAGCTGCCGCCGGCCAATCCAGCTTTCTGTGACACGGTTGTCTGCTGCGGAAGTGTTTATCGGTGTTCGAGGGCTGTTCGCTGATGGCATCCGACTTCAGAGCCCATGGGGTAATCTTTCAGGCTCCGACAGTTGCTCAACAGCTCCAGTGCGAACCTTGCTTGTCTGCAGCGGGTAGGTACAAGCTTCTGAGTCTAACTCTAGCTATAGCTGTAAACTGTAAACGAAGCACCTTCAACGGCCGTCACGCTTAGCTAGAGTTGGTAGATTTGGTCACCTAGGTTCTCCGAGAAGGTTCGATGCTCAGGTCAATGACCATCGCGAATCGGATCTGCGACTGGTGGAGGCGGGCCGCAGCTTTTATGGCTGTTTCAGCGGACTTGAGTTTGTAGACGTCTCAAAGCAGCCTCAAGTGAGCTTGTAGTGCCTTTCCGCAGCCTTCTTTTCTGTCACTGCAATTGCCCAGCCTCGAGAGCTCGATAGCCAGCAGTGGCTGAGTAGCCTCGCATGCAGAGGCTGGGAAGGGAGAGAAGAATGAAAACGTCAATTTCATCGTCATCTCCAGCTCGAGGCTGAGCGAAGCGGCCCTGGGCTCCCGTGTTCTCTGTTTGAAGTCATGCATCAACGGTTGGGGTTTTGTCTAACCCGCCCACCGGTTGAAGTCCTGCCAGAAACAATCCAAGGAGAATCCTGAAAATCTTGGGATAAGTCTACGCCACGAGTTTTGATGATTCTTGTGAAATGTCGCAGAACCAGCCTAAGAAATAACACAGAAACATCTGTTTCATATAGACTTGGGATGAGGGCATCCGAGCACCATCGTAATCGTAATTGCCTCCTGCCTGTCAGCAACCAGAGTCCCGAACTTTCTGATCACTCAAACTGCAGCTTGCAAGGTCCGCTGTATGACAATGCCTTCCGTTTCGAAGCAGCGTTCCGTCGGGGCTACTTCTTGGCGTTCCTCGGCATGCGATGCCGCTATGCCATGCCGTCTGCTTTGATGAATCTGATATCATGGCTCGCGCCGATCCTGCCCGGTCCAAGGTTCCGTCCGCCGACGCAACTGAGGCCCGCGGGAAGCAGCCTGCCTGTGTCTTCTAAAGGTGTGCCGGGATGAGCTCAATTGTTGGCAGGATGATCCCGTACAGTGGTGGGCCACTGCCCAAAAAGCAACGCTCTCAGAGCCTTTGGGCAGGTGCTCATGGCCGAATGCGACCTCTGTGCATGATCGCGTGGCCGAGGGTCATCATTGACTTCACACTCGTCGATTTCCAGGCAATGTTCAAGTTTATCGATATCGAGGAGGTTGGACCCTGCACCCGCCACAGATGGCCGTACCAGCAGGAACACCCTGAAGGTTCTAAGGCCCGCCATCGAGAAGAAGGGCGGCTGGGTCACCTTCGAGGTTGCTATGATCTTGACCGAACTTCCAGAATGTCCGCAGGGGCAAACTGTTTTGGCCCGCAGGAAGTGAAAGCTGACGCGAATGTGGTCGAGCCTCGCTTAGCCAACTTGCAAGGAGCGTTCTGAACCCTGCCACGGGATGTCCCTTTCGGTTCTTTGGGCACCAAGCCGATGACGTTATGGAAGTTCGGGGGGCTGTCAAAACGAAGGTAACGCAGCTGTTCGTGAGAAGATCCGATTCTGAGGCATACTTTGGAAACATCTTGCAAAAGCCAATGTGGGACGATGACGACTTTCAGACCTACTTCGAGGGCCACTTCGAGATGTGGGAGTCGCTCAGAAGCATCGGAAGCAGCACCTCTCAGCTGGGGCGCCTGCAAATGTGATCCCATGCCCTTTCAACGCACTCCTGGCAGTACCTTTGAGGTTTCGCTGCACCGACAGTGGGCCCGAAGTCAGGCCAGCTTTCTGCAGACGAAATCTGAACACAGACGTGGCATGACATGCTTGGAAGACAAGGGATATTGCATGCCTTTCTCAATCTTTGCGTGGCAGGCTCCGTGGTGTGGATGAGCGATTGGGATACGCACTTGAGCGCGCCAAGGAGTGGTGAAGTGTGAGGTCTGTTCTAAGTTAGCCAACTGGATCCCACTGGGCACATGAGATTCGGCAGACTGGCCCGACAGTTGCGTAAAGATGTCGCGAACCGCCCGCCAGGATCCTGATGTGGCTGCTGAACTGGTTGTGACGCAAAGACCCCAGGAGATTCGAGCAGAGCTGATGGGTGACATTCCGTGCAATCACCGAGGGCCGGGGACGAGCTCAAAGGCTTGCACTGGCCACATTCTCGGCTGCTTTACATGTCCACAGCACATGAGACCACGGTCCCAACTAGAGGCGCTATGTGCTCCCAGTCTTCGAAGTGCTGAGCCGCGGTCAGAGTGACGACGTCTCAGCCGCCTCGCACTCGGAAGAGACTCTGAGTGTGTCGTCTCACAAATGGGGAACCGGTGGGACCCTGGGACGTCCTCCTTTTCCACGCTTTCCTGCTGAGCTGCTTTTCGTGAGTCTGCGCCTTTGCTGAGGTGGTGCAGCGCATGGAGGCGACCCGCAAAAGACTTCCTAAGACGCGAGCGCAAGGATACATCGCGTTATGGTTTCGTTTCTAGGGTGCATCGGTGCATCAGCTTGGTTGGGATTGGGAGGCACAGCGCCAACTGCTTGCCTCGCTCCTGGGTGGCGTGCTGTCGACAGCTGGCGAGGCAGGCTCATCGCGATGCAGTGGCAAAGTGCTTACATGAGTTGGATGTCGTGACAGGCACTAGCAATCAGTAGATGCCGTGCAGTGTCCAACGTGTCCAACCGTTTATCCTCGAGGCGGACTTGGCGGATTTAGCTCGCTTCGCCCGCGCCTTGCAGCCTCTCAGCGAGGGCACGGCACCCGATGTTGCGAACAGGACAGCGGAAACTTCGCGCACGTCCCAAACTGCCAGCCGCGGTTTGCCGCATAGGAGCACCGAAGCTTGCAGCATGCTGTCGAAGCTGGCCTGGGCCCCGGAGATCATGCCTGAGTTCAAGGAAGAAGCGGTTGACGTGCATATGTCTGACATAGTGCGCTGTATCAGGATGTACGGTTTTCTTTGTGTGGAGGTCCTGGCCAGGGCGGCTGCTGCGGAGAAGGGCACAGTGGCAGATGTCGTGGCCTGGCATCAAGGGTCATGATTATTTCGCAGAGGTCAGTGCCAACTGCACACCGGGCAACATTCCAAGTTCGGTGCCGTCGGCCTACACGGGTCGACATGTTGGAAGGGGTCGGCTGCCTTTAGGAATGCCTGGGTTTGTGGCCCTCTCCCTGAAGGGTCTGTGTCAACGTTTGCGGGCCCAGGTGCCCGTTTGGTGCCGTTTCCGTGTCACTACCCTGTTCTGGTGCTTCTATGGATTTTGGCCATCGGACAACTCACCTGCAGCCAGACAGCTGTCTGGAACTGGCCTCTATGTTTTTGAACGGGTTGGGGCCCGTCCAGTGAAGCCGAAAATGACTGAGCTGACTCTCAGGTTGCTGTTGCACTTCTGGAGACCTGGTCCGTACTCCGACTTCCGACCCTCCCGAGCCATGTCCTCTTCATTGATGCCCCTGTCTCTTCATGCGCTGGATTTCTGCCATTGCCACAAGGAAGCGTTCTTGAACCAGCTTGGCCACTGTCAGTTCTGGTTTTTTCTCTCATCTGCTTGTAAGAGGTCTCGGCCTCTGCTTTTGTTTTCGGAGGGCCGACACCAAACAGTTGTGCGATTGGTGTTTGCCGCTGAGTTTCTCAGTGTCTGTGGAAACGAGATCAAATAGCAGATTTCTCAAACGCCTCCGTGCTCATGCCACGTGTGCTATGCTGCATGTCCTGCCCAGCTGCGCGTTTCTGTTATGTGCGACGGAGACACGAACACTGGAAGCCGCCGCCTGTGCTACTGTGCTTTCAGCCAGTCATCAGGTGAAGCTTGACGATCTGCGGATCGTGCTGATGCTGCCCGGGATGTCCTCGCACAGCAATATCCTGGCCAGGACACTTTGCACGGTGATCAAGTGTCTATACTAAGGGCAGCTGATACGATGCCGGAGAGTGCAGACTTCGGAGTCTTTGCTTCCTGCCGGTGCAAGATTGACCAAGAAGTAAGTCGTCGGTATGCCGACTCCGTGACTATGTAGAAGCAGAAGACTGTGGATTTTTGCAAGTTCTCGCCAGGATCACGTCGCCGCCCCTTGCCGAGGCATCATATGTCCTCTTGAAGCAGTAGACTCTTAGACGCATGACCTCCGTCGCAATGCCGCAAAGCATCGAGCCTCATCTTGTTCAAGAGGCTCCACTGGCCAAGATCCTCGAAGCGACTTCGGCTGCAGCAGCTGCCAAATCCATGGGCTTCGCCAAGGAGGCTCAGAATCCCGTTCGCGCACTCAAATTAAGTTTTCAGGGATTGCTATCTTTAGTTGAGGGCTCAGCTCAGGTTTATTGGATCTAAGTATCTAGGGCTCGTGGTCTTTACAGTTTGAGAGTTTAGATGACTGTTTGCGGCTCGCAGAGTTCAACTTTGTTTACGCTTTTGAGGGTTTGGTTGACGATTTTGAGATTTCGTGTTTTGTTTACAATTCAGGCTTTTGGGGTTTGGGGTCTGCTGCTTGTTGGGTTTAGGGCTTGGGGCTTTAAATTGTTTTAAGCTAGTTCAGGCTTAAGGCTCAGTTGAAGGTTTCACGATTTAGGCTTTCTAGGGCTCAGGGGTTTAATGGCTTGGGTGAAAGGCCTGGGTGTTCGTGTCCTTCTGAATCCGTATCCGTGTTGTCCGTGCGCGAGTACTGGTCGAAGTCTGGTCTGCTTCCAGGGGTATTCGTGATGGCAGTAGTTGTATGCTAGCAGCAGTAGATACGATGTCTCTTGTCCTTTTCAGGCCGCCCAGTTGGCTCTTCACCAGGTTGGCCAGGACCTCGACCAACCTCTATTCGTGTGGACGGTATACAGTAGGCTGCTGCTTCGTAGATCCCAGAGGTCGTATTGGCACGTCGCCGGCCGCGGTTCACAGTGTTGTGCTGGCGCTGGCCAACAACGGTTCGCCGATTGAGAACACCATTGTATCATGACTTAGAGCGGACTGGGGATAACTGGGGTCTCAAAAATGTGTGCAGGCCTGTTGCTCGACGGCTGCGCATCCCTTCTGGCACAGCACTGTGCTCTGCTCCCGACTGAGGCATGGTGACTTGTTCTGGGGGCCACAGCTTCGCTTAAGCACTGCGATGAGCTGGAAGTGGTCCAGAGTCTGAGACGATGAAAGAGCAGTCTCAGCTCTCGGCTTCATGACCAGGATCTGGCTTCTGCGGTGGCTGCCGTTGGAGATCAGGGCCACGAAGGACAAACTCGGAGGTGATCGGCGCGAGCTGCATGCGGCCTGTGCCCAAATCTTCACAAGGGACCATTGGTCGAAGCTGTGTTGCCAGGACCGCAGCTCGTCGCAGCATGCAAGAACCTCGCAGGCAGAGGCAGGCAGCGACAGCTAAGCGCTGATTTGCCACGTACGTGTGTGTGTGTGAACCTCCCCAGCACATGGGAGCAGAGGGTCACTCCTTT